GCTTAAGTATGAAACGACGACCAAGAAAAAAAATTAAGAATGCATAAAAATTTGATAAAAAAACTTTGAAGTAACTTAAAAAGATAGGATAGTTTTATAGTTCACTAGAACATACAGTAAACGTTGCGCATTGCTTAAATGAGCTTGTGTGTGCATGAACTGAAGCATACAAAGTTAATGATACTAAGATTAGCATGCAGAAAGAAAGAAAATGAGAAGTTTAAGCGTAAATTCCATTTCTGTCTGATCATAGTTAATATAAAATATGGAGTTTTGCAATTGACATAAAAACTCAGTAGATTAACTTTACACTAATAAAATGAGTAATTTGATGTTTATATTATTAGCATTTCTATCCAAAAGATAAAATCAGTTATGAGTATAATGAGATGCAAGGCTCACTTGATAACTAATAACTGCACGCTCTCAACACTTGTGGAAACCAAGCACAAGATATCCAGATCTCATGGTAAACATGTTGACCACTGACTCATAATCTTTATTCCTATATCTGCTGAATTTTGTGTAATTAAAATCGTCTCCCAATAAACATTACGCAAAGGTTTGTAGGTAGGTGTCAGTAAAATGCTTTATTAAACGAACTAGATATCTGGTAATTTACTTGGTTATGGCTAGCAGAGGAATGCAGAATGCACGCTTCGTCCTGTTTAGTGCTCGTCAGCTGGGTATACCTGCCACCCAGTGGATGATTTTGTCCCCACTGAGACTCGTACCTCGTACCCATCACTCCAAGCACCAAGGTGTTATCCAATAGACCATGGAGGCAGAATAGCCACCTCTTGTACGAAAGGTATTTGTTATTACTATTTATTGATATGCTTGTAATTCCCCGTTGTTTTACAAACGTATCAACAAACAGTGAAGACCTAAACAGTTGTTACTGACTTTGCATAAAAACATCTCAGTCGATAAGCTGAACAGTTTCCAAGTTATACAAACTAATTTTCAAAGAACTCACCAGTACATGCGTTTACTGCTAGTAAGTAGGATATACCGACTCACAGTACATTAAACGTTGGAGTACAATATCGCATTTTCATCAACCTTGAAACCCTTCTTGCTTCTGAGGTTTCATCTCCAAGGAAACACAGCAACTCTAAATAGAACTCATAATTCGATAGGAAGATGATGTGGATAAGTGAAACCCAGTTATAAGACTTTATGATTTCACTTCTATACTGGAGCGTTCATATCAAAACATATAGTAAACTTTATATTATTAGTGATGAAAGGACAGCAAGCGAAACAGCAGTTTAGTGTATATCGTTTAAAGATGTTAGTAGTATGTTGCGTTTTATGAATACAAGACCAATAAATAATCAAGCAGAAGACAAAGAAAATGAAAACACTGTATTTGTATCATCCAGGTCTGTTTAATAAGCATGTGACAGATACGGAATGGATGAAATAAAAACTCGATGAGTATTTAACCACACATGACTATGAAAACGTTCTAGTTGGCAATTTTGTGCTTTAGTTTATGTTTTCTATTGAAAATGGCCAAAAGATAAAGTTCCATTCGAATAAATCACATGTCTGTTACTTTGGTTCACTCGTTTAGCATGATCAGTTGAGATGAATCACTTAAATAAATACAATAATAAATATACTCATGTGTGACGCGAAGTCAGTTTTAATCTACTGGTAACCCGTTACGCCTTGATTTTTCTTTAACTGTTTTACTGGAATTTCGTAGTTGCAGTTGAAGTTGTTTTAATAATCTAAGAGTAGGTAGTTGCATTCTTCAGATTCATTTTTGTATATTTCAGCCTTTTACGCGACTTTTGAAAACGACTGAGTATAAATTCACTGAAATCATTTTAATGAGAATTACAGAAACCCTCCGAATTACGTACTTTAAGTCTCAATACTGACAAAATGATTGACAAAATTAGTGATGCAATGCAACATGAGACACCTTCGAAGTATTTTTTTAAAATGGTTGACTTTTTGATCATCAACACAACAATAAAGCATTCCTAATGATAGTAATATTCGGATTGTATAATTACAATAACACTGCATTGAATTCACTGAATGGTCTTCCCTGTATAGCCTTAAAACTAACTTAATACCGGCTTTCTAAGTGCATGTTCAGTAATTCCTTAGAAAGGGAGTGACATTAGTTTACGTAAGGTGTTAGTTATTTCAAGTACAAATAAAAAGAATTGGACAACTGCAAAGAACACGACTATTTGTCGTATGCAGTTTGATTTTGTCAAATAGAGTGCGATTTTCTCCATTTCAAGGTTTTGATCAAACCTGTAAGGTATTGTCTACTAAAGAATAGAGTTTCATCTATTTCCTACAGGCATATACTGGAATAAGAAATTTTGTTTGGTACAAAATACTAATTATCCCTGAAGTAATTTGAAACACTGGAAGCTGAAACATTATCACATCGTCACTTCATTCTATAAAGAGGTTATTCAATGGTAATGACTCATATTCTCTGACTGGATCAAATAAAGGAAGCCGTTCCCTCACAAATTTGTTTTCACATGGGAATTTCTTCCAAAAAACCTCAAAACGACTTAGTAATAATAATTATTATTATAGTATTTACATCTCAAAGGAGATGATATACGTATCCGGAACCTTTAACATGCGTTGTGGGAGAAATACTAAAAATTACTTATGCAAACTTCTCCTCACCTTGTCATGGAGCCTGTTGAATCCATAATAATATTAGTTATTTTTTCTACTGAATGAAAGCTTCCTCAATAAAATTCTTCAAGCAACCCGAAGTTTCATGGAAGAAAAAATTATTTGTTGGTGAAATATTTCCACTATGGCTTTAAAACACATTTCTGGCTGAAATACTAACTAGCTAGTTCTAGTAGATATTTTACAGTTGTTTAGGTGAAAATTATCGAAATCTAACAAGATACTGAAAAATTCGCATCCTTTATGGCCATAAAATTATTTTTTCTTGATATATAGAATGTCTGTTTGCCTACTGGCAAGTATATGTCTAACTCTATTCGGTGCACTTTCACTATACATAATATTCATTTAAGATTATGCTTGGTTGTTTCAAGCTGTTATTTTTTTCTACAAAAAGCTTTGCAAATACCTTTTTAGTTAACAAAGATTTCAAGAGTTATGACAATCTAATGTCAAGTAATTGCTTGCTTTCTTCTGCGTGTACTTTTCGTCAACTGAATCAGTTGTTATATATACTTTAATAATTTTAAAGGTCATATGTTTCTGTAGACTACTTGAAAAATATCTATCACAAAGTTGCTTAAATTAATAGTTAACTTTAAAGGTCTATAATTAAATAGTATGATTTTTATCAGCTAACATGTTTTGAGTAACTTTTCTCGTGACTTACTAGTGTGTAACATTTCACGTATATTATATTCATCTTAATAGGTGGCAGTAGAATCCAGGACATGTGGTTCATTCTATTTGAGACTTGTCAGCTAGATGTGAGTGATCCTCAGTGGATGATAGTTTTCTCACTGACTCGAACCCAGTATCCGTTGTTTCAAGCGCCAAAGCATTATCTGTTAGGCCACTAGTTCACGAGAGCCACCTTTTTTGCAATGAGTATCAGATGTTATTTGATGTTCATAGTTTCCCGTTGCTATTCTGCTTTGAACTGCTTGACCTCTAGCGTTTGGTGTGATGAATGCTGGGTTTGACTCTCCACAACTTAAAGAATATTCAGGCGGTATCAAGGCATTCTCATAGATGCCCAGTTAGCAAGAAAGATAGATCAGTTCGGTCTAGTATGATAAGAAATTAAAAGTATCAAACATTTTCATGTCTTTTCTAGTACTCCTTTTGACAGTTGTGTCGGAGCGGATCGCATGTATTCTTGTCATAGCTATTTTCAAAAAAGTGATTTGCATGAACCACTAGTGAAATAATAAACGTTTCAAAAAGACGGAATTCTGTTTACAGTCTAGTATTAGACCCTACGATAAAATTCATTTTGACCTACTCCTACTCGCAGGTCGGTGTACAAATGTCGTTCAGGAAGTCTGACTTGAGTATCACCTTCCACTATTTGAGCTCCTTAAAAATTAGCTATTAAAAACCAAGTAAGCACTCCACTACAAGTATTTTTGATTTGTCTGTCTGCGGGCATGCTATACAAATTATGTACTTCCATTTTAGTCTGTTTATTAGAAATATCATACTGTGAAACAGTAGCATTTACTGGATAACGTTTAGGAGACAATTTATTGTCCATATTCATATCAGATAACAGACTTTATGTATTCCTAATTCTCTCTTCTTCTCTGTGATGTTAAGGGTAGTAGAATTTCCCATATATCTGGGACAGGTGCAGAATCATTTTGATTGTATGTGTTTGATGTTGATTCGATAAACAAAGATTCGGTTATCAATCTCTCTCTCCACCCAACTGAGTTAGTTTTCAACACTGTCACCCTATCCCCCCCACCCTACTGTGTGATTGTGTGTCATCGCATGCAGAGCTATAGCCGACTTTCTCTCTAGATTTCTTATCTTATTAGGATCTACTAATCTTGATTTAGCTAAGTTTTTGTGCTCTGTTATTCTAATCGACCCTAGTCGACTGCTTTGACCTATGTGCTTGACCTCGCAGTCATTGCAAGGAATCTGGTAAACCAGATTATTTTGCTTAATTGCATCCATAGGATGTTCTGACCTACAAAGCTTGTTTCTAAGTGAGTTTGTTGGTTTGAATGCAACTTTAATCCCAGCCTTATTGAGAATTCTTCGTAGTGCTTCTGAGGTGCCTTCCTTGTATGGTAACACAGCAGAGGCTTTGAATTCTGTAACCTGAAATTTATCGAAATACTTCAAAACTTTGTGTAATCTTTGGTTGACAGAAACAATATTTTAGCTTACGTGATTACGAAAAAAGAAAATTGGGGGCCATAAGTTTGAGGTACTGATAATGTTTACTTGATAAGATGTTTTTTCTTTAGACATTGTTCAAATGTTTAACTTTTACAATTTTTACGTTTTCATGCCTAAAGTTATCAAGTCAAATGATCCATCCAGTAGACAGAAAAGGCCAGCGGAAACAAGTACTGGTGTTTCAGACAAGAATGTGGAGGAAGTGGCGGATGATGGTCGTGTCATCACAGCCTATGACGATGGTAACAACTCTGATGACAGTGACGAAGAGATCATTACATCTGCAATGCCACCAAAGCAAATAGTAGATACTATTGTTACAACTACAACTAATCCAGACGGCAGTCTGAAGCGAACTACAAGAAAAACAACACGTACAGTGTTAACTACGGCTAGAATACGCAAGATCAAGATGACAAACCTACCACCTGATGGGGAACTGCTCAAACCACCAGTACCATCTTCAAGTAACGATTTAAATATGTCAAATGTAATCAATTTCACAAAACTAAACTCAGACAATCTGACGGGAATTCGCTTGCTCAGGCTACATTGGCCATAATTCCCCCACAGACTGAGGTTACTTATCAAGAGAATGTAAAGCCAATAAGCGACATTGATCCAGATTTATGGCAAAGTTACAGAAGGTCAATAATGCTTCAAGTGAACAGTCATCCGATAATGTAGCATCACAAAAAGCTATTACGAAGACAACAATGAAAAAGACTGTCACTGCAACAGCAGCCACTGCCACATTCTATGCCACTGGAACTGATGCTAGGAGCCAAAATTTATTCCAAAGAAGTGGGTAAGTATCGTGCGCTGAGCGATTATTATCTAGTTATCCGCTGATATTTTGATGATCATTTTGACTCTTGAAAGTGTTTTGCATATATTGGTAATAATCACAAAAACACTGATACTAACAGAGAAGCAGTGACCCTTTAGCACCACACATAGTCCACCTCCCTTCAGGTTATATCAGTACTTGGAAATTACTTCCAGAATAATTCAGTATTTTGAAAGTCTGGTTGGTTTACCTAATGGTTTAATGAAACCGATCTAATGAATGGTTAGTCTATTCCTGAAGCACTCACTTAGCAAGGTCTTTCCTACACTTTGGTTCATACGAATGTTCAGTGATACGTTTAACCCGTTTATTGTTCATCACTGTCCCAATTAACTTACTACTTGAGAAATTATTTATATTTTTGGCTTTAGTATGATAATATCCCACGCAACGTAGTGCCTAGACAGGTGTTCCGTAAATCTTTTATCAAATGTTCACTAATCAAACATCGTAGACAGTAGAAATTTGTCGATTTGTTTTCAAAGCGATTTTGCATATAAACCTTTTTTAAGTATCATCATAAACAATACTGATTCTCTGGGTGATTCATTTGACTTTGTTTTTATGAATGAAATATATCATATCCCCATCGGTTACACTGTCATTCATGTTGCTTTGAATTATTTTCTGTACCTCATTTGGTTGGTCCTTGATTTATGCAGTGAAACTCAGTAACCGTCAGAACGACTGGTAAAATAAAAAGTTAATTATTGATTAAGACGGTAAGTTGTTTAATTATTCCCGTTAAAAGTTCACTGTTATCAGTTGTTTTTTGCTTCACAAGCTATACAAATTTGTAAACAAAATATTTCTTTTTCCATTATTGATTAGGGGGTTCATAATACTTTCATGAGTTCTGTATATGATTCCTTTGCCATGTTTTACGTGGAATAATGTATTGTATATTGTGTTACATGACAATAAATTTCATTCGTCTTTAAATGTTAATTTTGTCTGCTCTGTAAAATGAACTGAAAACCTTTCTTTTATCTGAAAAACGACTGAAGTTTGTTTTATATCTGTCACTCAGTGTTAATATGAAACCTGGCGTTACTGATGAATTGTCCCAGTTTCCGATCTCTACACCAGCACATAAAGGTAGGAAACACCAAGATTAAAGATAAAGAAATCAGGAAAAAAGCATTCAAAGTGGTGGAAAGTAGTAAAAACAGAAAGAGATAGAGTAAAGCTATAACGAAACTCCGTGTGCTGATTAAGATGGAGATAATATAAGGATGCATTTGCACCACTGTAATCGATTCTGAGCCATATCGTTTAGAGTTTCTAACCCCCTAATTCGGTTGTTAACCAAGTAGCTTGCATTCCCCCACATGGCTTAAACCAGCATTCAGTAACTTTGTGGACTGGTTCAAGTCTTTAGTTTGACCGCCTTCAAATTTTTTCCAGCTCTCAATAAATCCAGCTAACAGTGTGCAATGGGGGTTAGTGGTAACGAAACATACCCAATACAATGACCCACTTAAGATTTAAGCAGCTGTTCAGTGTTTCCTCAACAACTGGTTTTTATTCTTCAAGTTGAAACTATAGTTTGGGTAAACAGTGACTATGTATAGTAATGATGGGCAGCGGCTAGCAGTGGAATCCAGGATGCGCATTTCGTCCTATTTAGGACTCGTCAGCTGGGTGTACCTGCCTCTCAGTGAGTGATGTTGTTCTTGCGCATCCTGGATTCCACTGCTAGCCACTGCCTATCATTACTATACATAGTTTAAAAAAAGACAATATCGAGGCATCCGCATAGGAACCCATATGCCAACAGAGACTGATCAATTCGGTCCATCAACGACGGTGCAATACAAGCAATAATACTAAACAGTGACTAGCCTTAAAAAGTTATTCATTTTATGTTGAGATGTGTCAGTAGTCTACTATATTTCATGATTACTCCTAAAATCATTATATTCTCAGGTACTAAGTTAAGTGTAGGACATATACTAATCGTTTCACTAAAAGAAATGTTCAAAACTCCATAGAAACCTATCCACGTATATCAAGACATTGTTCATTTGGTCTTATTTTGTGCTAAGTGGTTTGTCTTGTGAAAATAGTGTTGGTTGAATGTTCATCCCGAACTCTTTTGAAACAATGGGATAGTATATATATATATATATATATATATATATATATATATATATATATATATATATATATATATATATAATTTCAGTATACTGTAAATCTAAATGTGACCATATAAAATCAAATTTCAGGCAATAATAAGCAATCTAACTATATTGCTTTCGTATTCTTAGCTCTTCAAATGAAAAGATACTCAATAATGGCAACAATTCAAGACTACAGATAGACCCTGAACATTCTGCTGATGCAAGTAGTAGAGATGAAAAACGGATGAATTCCGCCACACAAGTCGCAGCTGTGAAACGGATGAATAAGTCTTCGCCAACTAAGCGTAAAAACCGTGATTCTTTGACAACCACAACGACTACGACAACAACTACGACACAGGGTGAGTCTTCAACCACAACCACAACCACCACTACTACAAGAAAACACACTACAAGAGTTATCAACAATTTTGCCAGTAAAGGGTAAGTATACTTGACTGCTGTGCTGATTTAATTTCAATGCGTAAAATAAGTAGATTTTGTTAAGTTCCAGTTTCACTGTTGCATTTGGTAAGACGAAGTCAAAAGTATGCAGATTCATTCTCGTTGAATCTTTATCCTTGCGTACAAATCTGTCGCTGTTAAAAATTACGACATTCGCATACGGATCATAAATACATCAACATTCTGTTTCCGAAAACTCTAAGATTTGGAAAAGCGGTAATCTCAATATGAGTTGAGTTGTATTTTCGGAAATATAATAAAAAGAAACGAAGTTGCAAATTACTTATGACTGGATCACACCACCTCTTAGGTACTTAAGTGATTTTTTAACAAACTAAAAACAGACGTTTTGTGTCAAAATGAGGTCAAAAGTGCAGACTGATAAACTGTAGGTGGATACATTACCAATGCTACCTGGTTTTGCTATCAGCATCTCTTAATAGGTGTGTTGTGAAGCTTGAAATATGTTCACCAAAAGTGCATTAATTTAAAATAATCTGTCGAATAGTGAAAGGGAATTTTAACCATTTTTCAAATTAAAACACTCTGAAGGCATTTTTCATAGTTGAAGGATGAAGATTGTATAGAAGGTACTCTTTTAGTTAAAATATTTCAGAAATAATATGGGCAAAACCCACTATGGAGTATTATAAACAAAACACAATACACGACATAAAGATTTGAACTAAGCGCTTCGTTCTTTATCGTAAATTTTTCTAGAGTTTCTGCTGGCACGACGTTTTATTTTTTGAAATATTTCTTTGTCACAAAAGGTTTCAGTAGAAAGTTTGTTTTCAAGAGTTTTTCCTGCAGACTATTACTAACGACTTTATTACAGGCACTCCAGTCACATGATGTGATTAAGTGACATTAAATAATGATTTTTGACTGCGATTATTACTTTATAAATTTACAGAATCGATTAACCTAATGTTTCTAAGTACTTTCCAGTAATCCCAAATCTCAACTAAGCTTATCGAACGATAGAGGTTCATGGCATGGTTTCCAGCCGCCGAAAAGATCTTAATTCTCTTTAGTTTTCAAGTAATACTCCTGATGAGTGTTAGCAAGTACAAAACGTTTACTGACGAAAGCCAGCTCGTTAGCTGAAAGGGCTGACAAGCCGCACTGCCTGGTGACCACTTAGTAAATCTGGTAGCTTAAGTTCACATGGAACTTTGTGCGAACATGTTAGTTACTTCTCTTCAATAACCAGTCTATGCAGAAATGTGCGTATCTTTTAATCATCTGAACAATGGCAGTTATTAAATTTCATGGGCTTTAGACAGCAAGCTTACTTTTTGGTCACTGTGTCACAGATTATATCGTATTACTGCATGGTTTCGTTTGTCAGAAAATATTTTGGAAATCTATATATAATTTGGCACATAAACAAAAGGAGCTATTGTAGTTTACGTTGATGGTAATCAACAAACTGAAGTGTCTTCTGCTAAAAAAAGAAGTTCTACCAATATTTCAAGCCTCATTCCACTCTCCTAGTCGCATGTTGTTCCATTAAATACGCTAAAACGTAGGTGAAACCTTCTGTCAGAAGTAAATTGGATGAAATTCATCAACACATTGAGACGTAGCTGGTAAATTTGATTAATCTGCACTTATACCTGCGTCTCTACCACGATGATTTGAGCTTGTGAGGAGTAGGTTAGATATTTTATCGGAAAACCGTATTTCTATGTGTTTTATGGTATAAAACTAGTGAATAAAGCTTTTATGATTGCGTTTCGACAACTTTTTTGACTTCAGAACTAATTATAATTGAGGATTTAAGAAACTTGAATAGAGATTTTAGTTTCGGTCACTTTGCTGTTTTTTTATCTTTTGTGTGTACAGCGGAAGCTTAGACATTTCAAAAGATGCATAGTCGTTTGACGTAAAACAGCTGTACGAAAAGGAGATTTAAAACTCTTACATTCTTTTATTCACGCTGTGAGGCATTCTGTTTGTTTTGTTTTGTTTCTCGGTTGGACAATCACAGACACATATAAGAGACTGCTTAATGGAAGACACGTAGTCGATGACTAGTTTTATACTACTCACGAGCATTGTTGTGCACTTCCGACCAGTTTTCCTTCCAATTATTATAGAAAGTGTTTATCATATTGAGAAAACTATATATTATTATTATTAATATTATTATTAGTCCCTTGGGTTCCTAGTGGAACATAGGGCTTCAGTAGCACGCCTCCAGTGACCTCTGTTCTCTGAGATCTTTTGAACCTGGTCCCACGACAGCCCAGAAGCTCTCATTTCCTGCTCGCACGACCTCCTCCATGTCACCCTCGGACGTCCAACTCGTCGCTTCCCATGGGGATTCCACTCGAGGGCCTGACGCGTGATGTCCTCAGTCGGCCTTCTCAGTGCATGGCCAATCCATCTCCACTTCTTCCTGCATATTTGTTGCGTGATAGGTTCTTGGTTGGTTCGTTCCCAGAGTTCCTTGTTGCTTATTTTTTCTGGCCATCTGATCTTCAGCAGCGAGCGTAAGCAGTTGTTGATGAATGTCTGTAGTTTATTGGAAATACCTTTCGTGACGCGCCAAGTCTCTGAGCCATACAAGAGCACTGACTTGACGTTGGTGTTGAAAATCCGTATCTTGTTCCGCATGCTGAGTGCAGAAGATCTCCACACTGGTTTCAGGCTAATGAATGCCTGTCTTGCTTTTCCGATTCTGACTTTGACGTCCTCGTCCGTCCCGCCTGTAGTTGAAACAGTGCTTCCTAGATAAGTGAAGGAGGTTACTTCCTTTAAGTTTCTCCCGTTGACAGTGATTGGAGTTTGTTGTTGTTGATGGTGGTGGTGCGGTATCTTCATCACTTCTGTCTTCTCTATATTCACCTGAAGTCCCGTCTTCGCTGCCTCTTCTATCAACTTGTTAGTTTTTGCCTGCAGATCTTCAAGTTTATGTGACATTAGGCATAAGTCATCGGCGAAATCCAAGTCTTCTAGGTTCTTTTCCGTCGTCCAGTGTATCCCCCTCTTCTCGCTGCCTACTGTTTGCTGCATGATCCAGTCCACCACAATAAGGAATATCATGGGGGATAGTAGGCAACCTTGTTTCACTCCTGTCTTCACTTCAAAGGCATCACTGAGCTTCCCATTGTGGATTACTTGGCATGTGGCATCTTCATATAGTTGTTGAATGAGGCGGATAAAGGTTTGCGGCACTCCGTAGTAATGAAGCAGTTTCCAAATTACTTCTCGGTCGACGCTGTCAAAGGCCTTCTCAAAGTCGATGAAGTTGAGGTGGAGAGGTGATTGCCATTCTATGCTCTGTTCTATGATGATGCGAAGCGTTGCAATTTGGTCTGCACATGATTTGTACTTCCTGAAGCCTGCCTGTTCCGGTCGTAGTTTTGAATCCAGTGCATCCCTTAGCCTCTCCAGGATGATGCGGCTTAATATTTTACTTGGGGTGGACAGGAGAGTGATTCCGCGCCAGTTCTTGCAAGCACTGAGGTCTCCCTTCTTCGGCAGTTTGACAAGGTAACCCTTCTTCCAATCGTCAGGTACCTTCTCTTCCTTCCACACCTTCTGCAATAGTGGTGTGAGCATGGCCGCTGTTGTCTCTGCATCTGTTTTCAGTGCTTCTGGCGGTATTCCATCTGGTCCTGCTGCTTTCCCACATTTCAGTAGCTTTATGGCGTTCAGGACTTCCATTTTCGTTGGGGGATTAATGTTCACTTGTAGTTCAGCGGCTGCAGGTGGTATTTCTGGACGAAGTGCAGGTGGTGGTCGATTCAAGAGCTTCTTGAAGTGGTCGGCCCATCGTTTCCTCTGTTTCTCTTCTTTTGTAATTAAATTTCCTTCTTCATCTTTTATTGGTTTCATCTGTGTTGGTCTCTTCCCTGACAGCAACCTGGTTATTTGATACAATGTCGTCAGGTCTCTCTTACCTGCAGCCTGTTCTGCTTCACTTGCCAGTGTTTCGTAGAAGTGTCTTTTGTCGTTGCGTGCACTCTTCTTCACTTCTTTGTCCAGTGTTTTATACATTGTGCTCAGTTCCTCTTGTCGTTGAGCATCCTTGCACTGGTTTATCTTCTGCTTCACCATCCTCCTCTCCTCTATCAGCTTCCAGGTATCCGTCGAGATCCATTCCTTGTCTTCCACCTTCTTCCTTCCTAATACTGTTGTGCAGGTTTCTTTCCACATAGCTTTCAAAGACTTCCAATGTTCTTCCACACAGGTTTCTTCAGGGATGTTGCTCGATGTCTCCCATTTTGTCTTGATGGCTGCCTTGAAGATCTCCTTTGTAGTTTCATCCTTCAGTTTCCGAGTGTTGTACTTGAATTGAGGTCTATCACCAGCTTCCTTGAAGGCTTTTAACTTGATTTGGAAGGTTCCTTGCACTAGGTAGTGGTCTGAACCTACATCTGCTCCTCTTCTTGACCTCGTGTTAAGTAGACTGCGTCTCCATTTTCTTGAGATTGAGATAAAGTCGATTTGATTTTTAGTGTGTCCATCTGGTGAAATCCATGTCGCTTTGTGGATATCTTTGTGCCTGAACACACTGCCTCCAATCACCAAATCGTTGAATGCGCAGAATTCTGCAAACAATTCTCCATTCTCATTCATTTCACCTAGTGCCTCTCGACCCATGGTTAGTTCTCTTCCCGTGTTGTCCCCTCCCAGTTTGGCATTCATGTCGCCCATCAGAATTTTGATATCGCCAACTGACGTCTTGTCCAGTGTTGATTGAAGTTGTCTGTAGAAATCCTCCTTTTTCTCTTGCTCTGCATTATTTGTAGGTGCATAACATTGTATGATTGTGACCTTTCTTCCTTTTGAGTTGAATCTTGCTGTCATGATCCTGGAGGAGATTGGTTCCCACTGCATGAGAGCCTTCGATGCTCTTGAGGACATCATGATAGCCACTCCCTCAGTGTGCTCGTGGTTGGCGTCTGGGTGACCGGAGTAGATTATTGATTCTCCAGTTGACAGTTTGGAGAGTCCACTCCCAT